CAAAACTGTCTTGCTTATGCAGAGGGCCTAGTCCAGTCCCATGGAGGCTCCTTGAGCCAGGGTTTTGCTGTGGAGCCCTGCTGTCCTAGAAGTTACTTTGTACAACAGGCTGTCCATGAATTCAGATATTGCCCTGCCTCAGACACCCAAGTGCTATGATTAAAAGAGTGGTCTATAACACTGGGAGGATAATCAATATTTTCAAATAAAAACTAATCTTTCCTATTGCTACACTATCACGTGACCACCCCTACATATTTTGAGATTTTGATGTTATAATTTATGACTTTTTGAATATGTGTGTCACTGAAGTTATTATTTTTTCTTCAAACATCTGTGCTACAGATAGAATTTGTATACCACCAGCACACTATTGCAAACTCATATATTGGCTTGCATTTACTGAGCTACTTTTGCTTTTTCTACATGAACATGTTTTCAGGTAACATTAGCAGCCTTTTCTTTCAGCTTAACTTCATAGCATTTCCTGTGCTTATTGTGATGAACTCTGTCTGCTACTAGTTTTCCAAGAAATTAATTTTCCCCATTTCTGAAGATCAGTGTTGATGACATTTATAGGCAGTGTCTCTCTTTGTTTTTTCAAATTACCTTATTGAATATATCATGCCAAACCTCTTGAGGCCTGTAGGTCTTTGCTCAGAAGTCTGCCATGAGCTGTATTGGAAGTCCCACATGTGTTCTTTGCTTCTTTTATCATTCTGATTTCAGGATCTCTTATTATAATTATATGCTCTCTGGTTGTTATTATTTGGGTTGGATTTCTTTTGTGTCACTTGATCTTTTTTGTTCTTGACCATATAAGTTTTACTCCATATTCAAGAATGCTCTATACTTTCTTCTCTACATTTTTATCTGTTTATTTTTATTAGTGCTGTTATTTCTTCTTTTAACATTTTATTATTTTTTGAGAACACAATGTATATTAGTTATATTCATCTCCTGCCTAAACTCATCCTAGTTCCATCCCCTCCCCTCCACATCCAAGGAAATCTCTCTATTTCTTTACACATTCTTGATTTTTTATTACTGATAATTTGGTATTTGGGTAATATCAAAAAATCCTGTCATTCTTCTTTATTATGCTTTCTTTCAGTTTCTGTATTTATCCATCAGGTTGTATAATGTCTGATGTAAGCTCACTCATCCTCCTATTGAATCAAGTGTATTATTGAAACACTATTAACTTTTTTTAAATTTTGCATTTACTTGAGACACTCCCATGAGCACCTACATGAATGTGTTTTCATGTGTGAGTGTGTGTGTGTGTGTGTGTGGTATTGTATATACATGGAGTATTGCACAAGTGTGGAGGTCAAAGAACAACCTTCTTGAATCAGTTATCTATCTCCTCTCACCACATGAGTCCCAGCGATGGATTCCAGAGAGTCAGGCATGGTAGCAAGATCCTTTCCTACTTAGATATCAGGCTAGCCCACACATTTTCCAATTCAGTAGTTGTATTGTTTACCTAAAAGGGATGTTACCAAAATTTTATGTTGTTCAATGATTCATTTCAAAATATTATAAAATATTCCAACAGTTTCTCTTCTACATAGTTAGATCGTGGCTATTGTTTTATAAAATACTTTTCTTTTTAAATTTAATTTCTTGAGACTTTCATACATGAAAACTATCTTTGCATCATTTCTACCCATTGGCATTTATCCAAATAACCTGACAGACTAAGGCATAGATGCTTTTTCAGTCTTGTTCTTTGCTGCTCTATTCTCAACAGCTAGGAGAAGGAAACAACTTAATGTTTTTCAGCAGTTCAATGGAAAACAAAAATATATTACATGTTCACTTTGGAATCGTAGTCAGTGGTAAGTAACAGTGACCATGAAAATCTGAGAAAAAAAATGAAACTATAAAATATTATACTGAGTGAGGCAACCCAGATCCAGAAAAAAAAACTGCAACATTTTTTCCCTCATTTGTGCTTCATAGCTACAAATCTTTAGTCATGGTTTCTTATAATTCTGACAATTCATTAAAGATAAAATACTACTGTGAATTATTTATTATGGGCTCCATAGGTCTTCCTTTCCTCTGTGCTCACTACCAGAACCTCACCATTGTTCTCTGTTAATGTTTGACTTCTCTGATTCATATTTAAGTTCTGACACAAACACACCTGCGTATTGAAGAGAACCACCTCCTCTGCCACATGCAGAAGTTCTTTGGTTGGAAATAGACCTTTGCTATATAATCTAACCTGAGAATGAAGTTGAGCAAATCTGTTGCAATCTTGTACCAGATGACCTTGGTGTCAATGTCTGCTGTTTGACTAGCTTGCATCCTTTGTTTTGAGATCAGATGTTGTTGCTACTTGGGCTTCTGGTTCAGTAAGATCACTGACCACACTCCACAACCAGGGACAGTTTCTCACTGGGTCCATAATCGCCTCTACCAGGATAGGGTTGCAAGATGTCCTCACTGTCTAGAGTCCATATTTTCTTCACTGTAGTGTTTTGTTATTGTTTCTTTCATCAGAAACATCCACCATGTGAATACAGAACATATACCAAGATGCATGGGCTGTCAATCATGAGTCCAAATCCTTTTCATCACCAAGTGATCCAAGTAGCAGAACAATACTATATTTTCAATTTTTATCATGCCAGGAGCTTTGAAAAGGTGGAAAAACTACATATCTGCCTCTACTTACCACTCTTAGTGTAGAAAAATGAGCCAGTATAACCTCTGTGAATGAAACTCTATGCACGAGTGCCTTAGGGACGCTGTACTTCCAAGGACTCTTCCCTCCTATTTTTGTGGATTTTCTCAATTCTTTGGTACTATGGGCTGGCTCGTCCTCATCCCTTAGGTCTAGAAAAATCACAATGTAATTCTAATCTGAGTATTGTGACATATCTAGATTAGTGATGGTAAATCAAGGGCATTCTTTTTCTGCCATATTAGTGGCCACAATTCTTATGTGTCATATCACAAATGAATCTTTTCCTTTAATCATCTGATATAATTTCTTTTGAGATTACATTTTCTTTGACCAAATCTACTTTGTTATTTAATACTTAAGCAAAAATCTTAGGTAACATATCTTAGCATAATAGAAAGATATACCATATGAAATGTTTTAGTTGAGGGAGTACTCATTACAGGAAAAGTATCCTATTGTATTGGGTAGTTTCCTTTGAAAGATGTGATACATGCAAGTCTGCTCACCCCATAAAGGAAAACTATGACAGAGCAAATAATAATTGCACCAGATTCCAAATATGTGAATCTGTGGGTTTACCAAGAGTATTAATACTAGTATGAGTAACAGGGTTATTTTCAGAAGCAAGGGATGACTCAAAGCTTTACTTAAAGCACACCTCACTATGTGTAATTATCATGAAAACCAAAACCCTGTAGATTTCTGCACAACTTGAATACAACTCAGCAGGTCTTAGATATTAACAAGGAGAGCTCAGCTGGCCCAGCAGTTTACTCTCTCTATAGAGCTGGGAAGGGCCACTGGTGAATATTGCAAGTTTCTACTTTCCAGTCCATACAATATTTGTTTATCACCTGAACATCTCAGCCTCTCATATTGAAACAGGGATGTTTCAATTCAGAAAAAGAAATGTTATATGTAGGACCCCAAAGCCATGAAAATTTGAGGCTCAGTTCTTGAGGATGAATGGGCATCACTACATTTTTTACTCTGTCCATCTTTCTGCAGGAAGTCATGACAAGCCTTCACTGTCTGCCTTACCAAGCCATGTTGTTGCTCAGGGACAAAATGTGACTCTTATCTGTGACACTCATAATGAGTCTTTGACATTCAAGCTGTACAAAGAATTTGGGGCTGCTGTACCTCAGTTACATGAAGAAATATTCCAAAAGAACTATGTCTTGGGTCCTATGACTCCAGAATATTCTGGAACATACAGATGCTATTGTAACAGTCATCAATACACTAATGAACTGTCATCACACAGTGACCCTCTGAAGATCATAATTTCAGGTGAGAGTGTATATTTTGAGTGTAACTTCATTCACCCCAAACCTTCCAACCTTAGAATTTCCAAGGAATATTAGGCAGAGTCTCATCATTATAAAGAATATTTAACACAGGGAATTGGATACTGCTATGGCCATAACATAAACGCAAGGACATGCACTTCCTTTTCCCTAACACTTCATGAGTGTTAAACAAATAAAGGAAAATTGGGGTTGAAGATGGAACTCAGGAACTAGCAAGTTGACATCAGGATGAGAGATAGTCCTGAATTATCCTGACCCTTCAGGAAGCTTGGCATGTTTTGTGCCTTCCCAAAACTTAGAAAGGGACAATAATGGCTAGGGTAGACAGGTTCAGCAGACACACTCTCACAACAAGCCAAGGGAAAATGTTGTGCTACTACTACAAGAGTCACAGAAGTGGGAAATGTTCAGAGAATGATGGAGGAGTCTGTTTACAAAGTTAACATAAACAGAGACAAGGACACCGGGACACAGACAGGAAAAACAGCTGATGGAGGGAAAACCATAGGTTTTCTGGGATTCATAGATTGGTGTCAGGTTCATACTCACAATCTCTTTATTTCTAGGCATCTACAGGAAGCCTTTCTTCTTGGCCCTGCCAACTCTCCTGGTAAATTCAGGAGAGAAGGCGAAACTGGAGTGTCATTCAGAGATTATGTTTGACAACTTCATTTTGACTCTACACAAAAATAAGATAACCAAGGACTCT